GCCTTCTTTTGAAAAGTGTCTGTTCATGTTTTTTTGCCCACTTTTTTTTCTTTCTTTTTGAGATGGAGTCTTGCTCTGTCGCCCAGGCTGGAGTGCAGTGGCGTGATCTTGGCTCACTGCAACCTCTGCCTTTCAGATTCAAGCAATTCTCCTGCCTCAGTCTCTTGAGGAGCTGGGGTTACAGTCATGTGCCACCACGCCTGGCTAATTTTTGCACTTTTAATAGAGGCAGGGTTTCACCATGTTGGCTAGGTTGGTCTCGAACTCCTGACCTCAGGAGATCCACTTGCCTCAGCCTCCCAAAGTGCTGGGATTACAGGCATGAGCCACTGTGCCAGGCCTTTTTGCCCACTTTTTAATGGAGTTGTTTTTTGCTTATAAATTTTTTGAGTTTCTTATAGATGCTGGGTACTAGATCTTTGCCAGGTGCATAGTTTGCAAATATTTTCTCCCATTCTGTAGGTTTTTTTTTTTTTTTTTTTTTTTTTTGATAGTTTCTTTTGCTGTGCATCAGCTCTTAATTAGATTCCATGTGCCAATTTTTGCTTTTGTTGAAATTGCTTTTGATATTTTTGTCATAAAATCTTTGCCCATTCCTATGTCTAAAATGGTATTACCTAGGTTCTCTTCCAGGGGTTTTATAGTTTTGGATTTTACATTTAAGTCTTTAATCCATCATAAGTTGATTTTTGTTTATAGTGTAAGGAAGGGGCATAGCTTCAGTCATCTGCATATGGCTAGCCAGTTATCCCAGCACCATTTATTTAATAGGGAATCCTTTCCCCCATTGCTTGCTTGTGTTAGCTTTGTCAAAGATCAGGTGGTCATAGGTGTGCACCTTATTTTGGGGTTCTCTGTCCTGCTCCACTGGTTTATATGTCTGTTTTTGGATCAGTACCGTACTGTTTTTGTTACTGTAGCCCTGTAGTGTAGTTTAAAGTAAGGTAGGATGATTCCTCCAGCTTTGTCTTTTTGCTTACAATTTCCTTGGCTATTTGGGCTCTTTCTTGGTTCCATGTAAATTTTAAAATAGTTTTTTCTAGTTTTGTTAAGAATGTCATTGGCAGTTTGATAGGAACAGCATTGAATCTATAAATTGCTTTAGGGAGTATGGCCATTTTAATGATATTGATTCTTCCTATCCATGAGCATGATTTTTTCCATTTGTTTGTGTCATCTCTGATTTCTTTGAGCAGTAGTTTGTAGTTCTCCTTGTAGAGATCTTTCACCTCCCTAGTTAGCAGTATTTCTGTATTTTATTTTATTTTATTTTATTTATTTATTTTATTTTTTTTTTTTTGCAATTGTGAATAGGATTGCCTTTATGATTTGGCTCTTGACTTGGCTGTTGTTGTTGTATAGGAATACAAGTGATTTTTGTACATTGATTTTGTATTCTGAAACTTTGCTGAAGTTGTTTATCAACTGAAGGAGGTTTTGGGCTGAGATTATGTGGTTTTCTGGATATAGAATCATCTCATATGAAAACAGACATCATTTAACTTCCTCTCTTCCTATTTGGATGCTCTTTATTTCTTTCTCTTGCCTGATTGCTCTGGCTAGGACTTCCAATACTATGTTGAATAGGAGTGGTGAGCAAGGACATCTTTGTTTTGTGCTAGTTTTCAAGGGAAATGCTGCTAGCTTTGGCCTATTAGATATGATGTTGACTGTGGGTTTGTCACAGATGGCTCTTATTATTTTTAGGTATGTTCCTTCAGTACCTAGTTTATTGAGAGTTTTTAATGTGAAGGGGTGTTAAATTTTATCAAAAGCCCTTTTCTGTATCTATTGAGATAATCATGTGGTTTTTGTCTTTAGTTCTGTTTATGTGATGAATGACATTTATTGATTTCCATATGCTGAACCAGCCTTGCATCCAGGGGATGAGGCCTACTTCATCGTGGTGTATTAACCACAATCGTGGTGTATTAATTTTTCAACATGCTGCTGGATTCGGTTTGCAAGTATTTTGTTGAGGATTTTTGCATGGATGTTCATCAAGGATATTGCTCTGAAGTTTTCTTTGTTGTGTTTCTGCCAGGTTTTGGTATCAGGATGATGCTGGCCTCATAGAATGAGTTGGTGAAGAGTCCCTCCTTCTCAATTTTTTGAAATAGTTTTAGTAGGAATGGTACCAGCTCTTATTTGTACATCTGGGAGAATTTGACTGTGAATCCATAAGTTCTTAATTTTGGGGAAGTAGGGTAGTAGGCTATTTATTACTTATTGTAGCAGTCTGTTTTCACACTGCTGATAAAGACATACTCGAGACTGAGTAATTTATAAAGAAAAAAGATGTTTAATGGACTCATAGTTCCACATGGCTGGGGAGGCCTCACAATAACGGCAGAAGGCAAAAGGTACGTCTTACATGGCAGCAGGCAAAGAGGAAATGAAAGCCAAGTGAAAAGGGTTTTCCCTTATCAAACCATCAGATCTCGTGAGACTTATTCACTACCATGAGAACAGTATGAGGAAAACCACCCCCATGATTCAGTTATCTCCGACCAGGTCCCTCCTACAACACATGGGAATTATGGGCGCTACAATTCAAGATGAGAATTGGGTGGGGACACAGCCAAATCATATCACTGATTCGATTTCAGAGCTCATTATTGGTCTGTTCAGGAGATCAACTTCTTCCTGGTTCAGTCTTGGGAGGAACGTGTCTAGGAATTTATCCATCTCTTCTGGATTTTCTAGTTTATTTGCATAAAGGTGTTCATAGTAGTTTCTGATGGTTAATCTAATCTCTGTGGGGTCAGTGGTAACATTCCCTTCATCATTTCTAATTGTGTTTATTTGGATCTTCCCTCTTTTCTTTTTTATTAGTCTAGCTAGCAGCCTATCTAACTTATTAACTTTTTTGAAAAACCAACTCCTGGATTCATTGATCTTTTGAATTTTTTTTTTTGTTAGAAAGATCTTAAATTAACCACCTAACATCACAACTGAAAGAATTATGGAAGCAAAATCAAATCAACCCTAACTTTAGCAGAGGACAAGAAATAACCAAAATCAAAGCTGAACTGAAGGAAATCAACACACACACACACAAAACATTTCATGCTATGAATTTCCCTCTTAACACTGCATTAGCTCTGTCCCAGAGATTCTAGTATTTTATGTATTTGTTCTCATTAGTTTCAAAGAACTTCTTGATTTCTGCCTTAATTTCATTATTTACTCAAAAGTCATTGAGAAGCATGTTGTTTAATTTCTGTGTAATTACATGGTAGGGACCTGTTGCTGGCCCAAAAGTACATGTAGGAGGTAGCTGGAGACAATGGTTGTGAGGCACCACCTGGTACTGAGGAACAGGATTAGGGACCCACTTTAAAAAGCAGTCTGGCCACATTTTCACAGAGCAGTTGTGCTGGGGGGTCCACTTTAGCCTACGGGTGCCTTGGACTCTCCAAATTCTGAAGGCTGGAATAGCTAAGTCACCGAAACAGCAAAGATAATGGCCCATCACCCCCGCCGCTCTGGGAGCTCTGTCCCAGGGACATTTCAAATCTCTGTTGGCTATGAGAGAGCACTGGCAGGGGTGGCTAGGGACCCTGGTTGGGAGGTCCCACCCAGTGAGGAGGAACAGAATTGGGAACTCACTTTAAAGAGCAGTCTGAGCTGGGTGTGGTGGTTCATGCCTGTAATCCCAGCACTTTGGGAGGCCGAGGCAGGTGAACCACCTGAGGTCAGGAATTCAAGACCAGTGTGGCCAACATAGTGAAACTCCGTCTCTAGCAAAAATGTAAAAATTAGCTGGGCATGGTGGTGCACCTGTTGTCTTAGGTGCTACTTGGGAGACTGAGGCACGAGAATTGCTTGAACCCAGGAGGCAGAGGTTTCAGTAGATTGCATCACTGCACTTCAACCTGAGTGACAGAGCAAGATTCCATCTCAAAAAAAAAAAAAAAAAAAAAAAAAGAAAAGAAAAAGAAAGAATTATAAATGCAGAATAGCTGTGCTGTGCTGGGGGATCCCTTTCAACCCTGGTTGGCTTGGACTCTCCAGACCCTGAAAACTGGAACTGCTAAGTCACCCAAACAGCAAAGATGGCAGCCCATCCTTTTCCTGGGGAACTCCATCCCAGGGAGGTGCAAAGCTGCCACTGCTGGCTGGCTAGAATTCCAAGCCAGTGGGTCTTATCCTGTGAGGTGCCATGGAAGTGAGGCCTGCAGACAGTCATTGGTCAGTCCCCTGGATTCAGCCTCTTTCCTAGGGGTATCTATGGGAGTCTAATCTCCTGCTTTGTTGGAGTTGCAGCTACTTTTGCTAGGAAGCCTGGAGAGCCCAAGTATCTAAGGCTCCCAAGTCTCCACGTGTACCAGATGGCTGCTCTGCCAAGACTCCACGTAGCTCTGAAGACCCCGGTGGAGTGAGTTCATGAAGGGATCTCCTGACCTGAGGGTTGCAAAGATCTGTGGGAGAAGCATGGCTTCCTTCCATTCACTTACAGCCTCCCCGGGCAGGGGATGTTTCCTTGGCTTGGTGCTGCTCCCAGGCGGGCCATCATCCTGCCTTGCTCTTCTCCATTCTCCATGGGCCAGGTTATTTCCTTGATTAGTCCCAATGCGAGTACCTGGATGTTTCAGTTGAAGGTACTGTATTAACTCACCCCTTCCGTTCCTCTCTGTGAGAGCTACACACACTAGCTGCTTCTAGTCAGCCATCTTGGCCATGGCCACCTCCCCCAACTTTTTTTAGTTGTGCAAATTTGTTGTAAATATTCTTTCAGATAAATATGTTACAGGAAAGAGTTAAAGAACATGCCAGTTTATGGCAGCAAAGATAGTAAAAGTATTTCCCAGCCAGATAGGAAGATTTTAATTTAGGGAGAGGACATCTCTGAATTAATTAACAAAGGGCCATGAACTTTTAAAAGGGTGTCTTTTCTGAAATACTGGTGCTGGTAAAATGTCATTGTAATAGGATAAAATAGGATAAACACCTAATTAAGAATTCCCAATAACTCTGAAGCCAATAAAGGGTAATAGATGGCTGGGAAGTCCAAGCTTAGGGCAGTAGATATTGGCACTGTCCTAGGAAGCTTCCTTGGGGACCAGCTCGGGGCAACAAGTAGTGGGCTGAAAAGAGGAACCTTCAAATCCAAGGCCAGGATTCATGTCTGGAGGCATCAAGGGCCATGTAGGATAACCATAAAGTTTTGTTCTTTGGTTCTTTTTTTCCAGAAAAATAATCTAAGGTAGTAAGGCAGTGGTGAATAGCACAGTCTTTAGAGTTTGAAGACATGTATTCAAATTTCTACTCTGCCACTTAATAGCTATGTGATGTTGGGCATGTGACTTTACCTCTCTGATCCTTAATTTCTCATTGTAAAACAGGATTATAATACTATTTACTACAGAGACTTTCAAGGGGCTTAATTAGTAAATATACGTAAGGAACATGGAAGAGTTCCTGGCATACAGTAAGTGTCCAATAAGTATTAGAAGATACCATTATTATGCCTCCCTGCCTAGATTCCCCATCATGGGCTAGGCAGAATGAAGGGGGACAGGGTTAGAGAAATAGAAGAAATTTACAAGAGTTACACCGATACACAAATAGGTAAAATGTCAAAATGTGTTGAAGCCACAGGAGTCAACAGGAGTCAGGTTAATTAAAAATATCATTATATTTTCTCATTAAGTATTTTATTTACTACTATATTACAGCAAATGCAAAATAAAATGCTTAAATGAAAAAAATTTCATAGGTTCTCAAATAAACTTTTTTCTCATAAAGTGTAAAGTTCCTCAACAATGTATTTAGGAGAACAAGACCCTTAGGATTGGAGAGCAACCCTAGTCTTCATTCCCTCAAATTAATGAAAACCTTGTGCTACATCCACACTCACCGAGGACAAAAAATTCTTTCTCCAAAGCACTTACACATGAGGTCTATCTTTATATTTTTCTCCTCTAGAATGATTTTGTTTTCTTTCAAATCATTTAGTACCCTTTATGCATGTTTACTAAGTAATGTGCTTATCGATTCATTATTACCAAATAATAAATTTCTCAGGAAAGGATAGCCTGGCAAAACTGTCATACATAACTGAAAGACTTGTCATTGGTGTGATCCCTGTTAGTTTGAATAATTCAACAGCCATTTATTGTGCAACTACTATGCTCTAGTCACTTTGCAAATGCACAGGTCAACCTGCATACACACAGTTCAGTGGGCAATATGAAGCAGCTGTAACAGCAAGTGCTGCATGGCACCTCCGGAGTGCCACACATTATCCTAGCACCACTGCAGGCATCCACACTGCCTCTGAAGAACTGCCCATGAGGTAGGTACTGTCACATACCCATCTTACACAGGGGGACACTGGGACACAGGGAGCTAAAGTAACCTGCCCAGGACCACATAGCTAGAAAGTGGCAATGCTGGAAGTAGAACCAGGTGGTCTAGTTGCAGAGTCTACACTTTTCACTATTAGTCGGTGCTGTCTATTTAAAAGAGAGAAGAAATGGGCAAACAAGGAAATATAAAAAACACACTTTCAGAGTGACAGTGCCATGAAGTGAAGGAGTCATAGTTGCCAGGAAGAAATTAAACTGGACATTAATGAGGAGGTTGGTGGTAATTTCTTGGGTGTGAGCATGTTTGCACTGAGATGGGGGACTGAGCGCGAACCAGTCATGGCCCAACTGGCCAGGGAGTGGTGTGTGAGGAAGAAGAAGGGATAACACAAGGACAAGGAGTCCCAGGTGGGAACAGGTTTGCTGCATCCCAGGAGGCTGGTGGGATGCTAGAGCATCAGAAGAGGTGTCAGGTGGAGTTGAGAGTTAGGACCCTAAATATTATTCTAAGAAGCCCCTTTTGGGCCGGGTGCGGGGGCTCACGCCTGTAATCCCAGCACTTTGGGAGGCCGAGGTGGGTGGATCACGAGGTCAGGAGATCAAGACTATCCTGGCTAACATAGTGAAACCCCGTCTCTAATAAAAATACAAAAAAAATTAGCCGGGTGTGGTGGTGGGCACCTGTAGTCCCAGCTACTCAGGAGGCTGAGGCAGGAGAATGGCGTGAACCTGGGAGGTGGAGCTTGCAGTGAGCCGAGATCGCGCCACTGCACTCCAGCCTGGGGGACAGAGTGAGACTCCGTCTCAAAAAAAAAAAAAAAAAACCTTTTGGAGGGTTTTCACATGACGAGAATATGAACTAGCCCGCACTACAGAGTTGAGATGCTGTATTTTGCCTTGTGACAAAATAAAGGAGAAAGTCATCCTATTCTTGGTACTTTTGACTTAGACACAGTCCACCCTCCAGGAGCATGGTCCCTCTCCCTACGCCAGTCATGTGTCACTTGACCACAGGTCTTCTGCTCTGGGCTCATTTCCACTGGCTAGCAGACGTATATTATCACCCCCATATATACTGCTCCACACAAAAGGTTTTTGCCCATATGGCAAGGATTATGTGTTTTTCCATCACCATTCTCATTCCTGCACCTGGCATGGTGCCTTGAGTACAACGAGCACTCTGGAAATACATGCTAAGGAGAAAAAAAGTTAGAAAGAAAAGACATGGAGATGAGAAAGGAATGATGGAGGAGTGGTGGAATAAAGGAGGGGAAGAAGGAAGGGAAGGGAGGAGGACGGGCAAAAGGAAGTGCAACTGCCCAAGGGGCTCACCTTGCCTGCTGCCTAGACAGAGCCAATTTATCAAGACAGCAGAATTGCAATAGAGAAAGAGTAATTCGGCGGGGTGGGATTACACGCCTGTAATCCCAGCACTTTGGGCAACCGAGGTGGGTGGATCACAAGGTTAGGAGTTCAAGACCAGCCTGGCCAACATAGTGAAACTCCATCTCTACTAAAAATACAAAAAAAAATATTAGCCAGATGTGGTGGCATGCACCTGTACTCCCAGAGACTTGGGAGGCTGTGGTGAGAGAATCACTTGAACCCAGGAGGCAGAGATTGCAGTGAGCTGAGACCACACCATTGCACTACAGCCTGGGTGACAGAGTGAGACTCTGTTTCAAAAAAAAAAAAGAAGAATTCATGCAGAGCTGGCTGTGCAAGAGGCAAGAGACTGGAGTTTTATTATTACTCAAATAAGTCTCCCCGATTTGAGTAGTAGATTAAATAAATTGGGGATCAGAGTTTTTAAGGATAATTTGGTAGATAGAGGGTCAGTGAATCGGGAGTGCTGAATAGTTGACTTGGAGATGAAATCATTGGGAGTTGAAGCTGTTCTCTTATGCTGAGCTCCTGGGTGGGGGCCACAGATCTGGTTGACAGGTCCAGGTGGGACCATCTAATTGTTAGAAATGCAAAAATCTGAAAAGACATCTCAAAAGGACAATCTTAGGTTCACAATAGTGATGCTACCTTTGAGAGTAATTGGGAAGGTTGTAAATCTTATGACCTCCAGAATAATGGCAGGTAATATTTAGAATTCCATACCCTCCTATTCTAACTTGGTGGCTGGTGGCCTTTCATTCATTTTACAAGAACATTTTAGCTTTTGGGAAGGGCTATTATTTAAACTATAAACTGACTTCCTTCCCAAGGTTAGTTCAGCCTATGCCCGGGAATGGCTAAGGACAGTTTCAAGGTTATAAGCAAGATGGAGTTGGTTAGGTCTGATGTCTTTCACTGTCATAATTTCCTTAGTTATAATTTTGAAAGGCAGTTTCAGAATCAGGCAAGCAGGTTGCTCCTGGGAGTGGGCATTCCCTGTCTCCTACACCTGGCCTCTTAGTCTTTTGCAGGCATTCTCTGCTCAGTTCTTCCTCACTGTAATCTACGGCGGAAGCAGTCTAAAGCTGACCACAGAGGGAATTTCTTTGCCTTTTATCTCTGCTGCTTTTTTGCCTGGACTCCAAGGAAGCCGATCTTTCCTTGTGTTTACTGCTTTGTGCAGACATCAAAGAAAGAAGAGCAATGGTTTCTGGACTAGCATTTCCCGAATGAGCTTGGCTGAAACTTTTGTCACTTTCATGACAAAAAATGTCCTGTGAATGAGCTGGTGGCCTGGTGGGCCTGGCAGGATTTGTGACACAGCAAAGAGTACTCTATGGAACCACTGAATTGTCTTATTGCAATGCCTGCTCTGAACAACAGACACCCAGACACTGGAGCCTGTGTCTTTTGTCTTTGAGGGGATCTAGAAGGTAGGCAGAGATCAGTGACAAGGCTGCCGCTGTACCATGTCTCCTTCATGGTGGCAGGAGGCCGACTATGACTCACACACACTGCAGCAGGCTCTTCCCATGCTCTGGTCTATAAGTTGGTCACATGGCCTTTTTGGCCTCAGTATCTTGGCTGTTCACAGTTCACTGGAGTAGCTCACACTTCCTGAGCACCTGAGTGCTCTCAGCATGCTCATGTTGTCTCCCGTAATCCTCAGGACTGCGCTGTGAGCTAGGGACGATTCTCATCCCCATTTTAAAGATGAGGAACCTGTCCTAAATCACATCTTAAGCCCAGATGAATGGATGAAAACACTTTCCTTACTGGGCTCCCTGAGTTGGTGTGAGAAGCGGAATGACTTTTCAGAAGACCTCTGGCTGGAATCCGCTATCTACTCCCCTTTCTAACAGATCCTGGATTTGCTCAGTGTGCCTGGTTACCAGGTATCAGCTTGCCAGACTCCATTGCCACTGAGGATGCCTGTGGTAAAGTTGATATTACTAAAATTGCTGTTCTCCAATTCCCGGTTTAGGAAGATTAGAGCCTTGATTGAACCACACCTAGGAGAGGACAAAACAAGGATCACCCGCAATGGTGAGCTCATCCATGCAAACTACGTGGAGTTTATCATATTCTCAACTCCTCTGCCTTCTCTCCCTACACTCTCAGAGTTAATACCTGATGGGGAGATTGTGCATGTGACAATCAACAATAATGCAAGGCAGGATGTAGTATTTTGGGTGTGACCCAGATTGCTAGGAGGACACAGAAAAGGGAGAGTTGTTCTGACAGGAGGATCGGAGGACACATCATGACTTTGAAGGGGGCAGGGAGGCAGAAAAAGCCTCCAGGAGGTAAGCTCAGTATGTGCAAATGCACAGAGGTGGCAGTATTGAGGGATGGCAGGGCATCAGGGGCCAGTTCCATCTGTGTACACACAGCAGTGGGAGGGGAAAGGGGTTTTCTCCAGTTTTTCAATCAGTACAGGTTTCCCTTTTTCTCATGGTATGCCCTTCATCTTTCCCACTCTAAGAGCATCCTTCTCTTCCTCTCTAGTCACCGTAAAACCACAATTGATGCTCTTTCCTGGCTTTGGTTAAAAATCCTTAACCCAGTACACTTTCTGTTCTGAGTCAGGTAGGTGCCTGAAAAAAAGAGAGCCCAGATTCCATTTGGGGAAGATTTATCTGCATGTTACTTATGCACCTCAGTTTTCACAGAGTAACGATTTGGTCACAAACCTGGCCCAAGCCACATCCAAAGACAGGTGGCACCACCCTGAGAAGGGAAGTGGGAAGGAAACTGACAAGGACGCACCAGGGCCCAGGAGCCCCACGTGCACGTGGGGATTTGGTGTGTGCTTCGGTTTTGTGTCTGTTTCTGTGATAGTGTTGTTTTCTCTCCCATGAGGACAAAACCATGGCTGATGGCAGCTCCCAAGTTTTATATTTCTCAACATCAAAGAGAGGAGAGACTTCGAATTTCCCCTCTTTTTATCCTTCTGGAAGGATTTGTTGTCCTAGCTTGGGTTAATTGAGGGCCTAAAGTAATACCAGGGCAACCCAGAGTTGCCAGTTGGATCACGGAGTTCGGTGCCACTTGATCCTGCTCCCAAGAGAAGAAGGTTGCAGGGAAGATGGAGCCCCAGATATCTATGACTCTTACTTTTATTATCTCTCATCGTCATCTCAGTGCAGCCTCTAAGGCAAATGCATTATGTAATTTACGAAATATTAAATGATGTCTGGACATTTGAGCTGTTGCTTATTGCTTTCTGTTTTAATGCTAAGTGCCTTGGCCAAGATCCCAAGGCCTCCTGCTTCCACCTCACTAACCTTCCCTATTTCTTGTGTCTCTCCCTGCCATGTACCTCCCTAGGTTGCACTAATTCAAGCCTTTCTTCTTGAAAGATACATTATGAGCTGACACCTTTTACTTCTTTCTCACTTCCTGCTTATACCTCCTAATTAGCACCTTTTCTATAATTTATTAAGCCAGAATACAATGGTGACAGACATCCTGCTGCCTCACTGACTAGATATTTTATTCTATGTTCTTTGTTTTTCAACCAGATTGTAGGTTCTATTGGTAAGGATCTTGTTTTATACTTCCTTCTTCTCCTGGATCTCATATCATAATGTCAACCATATCTGTTAGGTTTTGCTGCATAACAAACTATCCCAAAACTTAGTAGCTTGAAATGATAGCCACGGTATTTTTTTTAGCTCATGCTTCTGTGGATTGTCAACATGAACTAGGCTCAGCTGGGCTGCTCTGCTGGCCTTGACTGGGCTCATTCATGCATTTGTGGTTAGTTTCTTGTCATTTAGGCAGCTCTGCTTCTGGGAGTTGGCTAGTTATTGACTGGGGTAAAGAGGTGGCTGGGCTGCCTGTCTCTCGTCATCCAGTAGGCTAGCCCTGGCTCATTTACATACAGTTAGCAGATTTCCAAGAACAGCAAGAGAGGAAATCTCCAATGTGCTAGCACGTTTCCTGTTTCGCTTGTGCCACATTTACTATTGTCTCATGAACCAAACCAAGTCACATGGCCAAAATCAGAGTTAGTGTAGGAGGAAAAATAATGGCATGGCTATAGGGAGGGAAAGAACTTGTGCCCATTTTTGCAATATATTACATAACAAAATTCTATTTTTTAATTCAAAAATATTTTTATAAATATACATCTGCCTGCTTAAATTATATAAATAGCTTTTCAAAATATCAGTAGAAGTGATTATCTTGAAATATTTTCCTTCTGTAACTATACTCTATTTTTTATTTTATTTTATTTTATTTATTTATTTTATTTTATTTATTTATTTTTTACATTCCATTTGCTCTCTCTCTTTCTCTCTCTCTCCCTCCCTCTCTCTCTCTTTCTCTGTCTTCCCCTCTCATTTTTCATTTTGGTCTCATTAGATCATGTCATTGAATGGCTGGAATATGTTTATCACTATGAAGTTGGATCCTGCACTGTGGTTTTGTGTACATGCATGTGCACATATATGGTAAATAGACAACTCTTTCTCTTATGCCAAGTTTTAATTTCTCATTATTCAAGATCACACTCTTTAGACACAAATCAAGTAAGGATGACAATGAATGGAACACATAATTTTTACCTGTGCCAATTTTCTCAAAGTTCTGTGCTAGAAAAAGCAACGATACTAAAACTGATTGGACATGACATTCATCCCTTAGAATGTGTAAGTCCTGTACCTTCTTTGAAGCACACTCGGGAAAATCATTTTGAGGCAATAATGCTACAAAAGTGGCAAAGAGCTGTGGTCTCTTAGCTTTTCCATTGGGCAACCAGGGATGTTGCCATTTATCTTCACGTATGATGCTCGTTTCTCCCAGAGAAGGCCCAAGCATGTCAACTGACATGCCAGGTCAGCAAATTACTTCAACTATTTTGACCAGTGGTTTCCCAACATAAATTTTGTTCACTTAATTTAATGCCTCTGTTTGGAGAAATGTACCGTACATCTAGAAAAACTACTCAGACCTCTTTTTGTGGAGGAGCTGTATTAAAGTGTAAGTCTTTTGAAATAAAATGCCAAAATAGCAGCTTAAGGGATTGCCTTGAGAAGATCCAGAGGTGACAGACTTGCACAGACTGCTCATCCAGCTCCTAGCACTGAAGAAGGTTTAATCCCCATCATAAGCCCTCATTTTATGTCATGCATAGTAGTTCTGCTTCTCTGATCAAACCATTATTAATAAAGACATTTTTCCCCTTGCCCTCTCAAATCTTACCAATTCCTGCTGCCTCAAGCACTGAAGAGAAGTGTAGTTGGCTTAGTTTGGGTTCTCCCCTGAAGCAAATTTTGAGAAAAGGACTTGAGAGTAGATCATTTATTTGGGAGATAGCCCCACAAAACACAATGAGGAAGTGCGGAGAGTGTGACAGGGAGGACAGCAGAGCCAATAAAGAGTATCTTGATGGGTGGTACCCCTGGGCTCTACACTGATGAACAATCAGCCTCAGAGTCAATATCCCAATGGACAGAAAGGCTGGAACTCTGTCCACTTCCTTCCATCCTCTGTTGGATGAGGGTTGCCCCAAAGGTATGAACTCCGTTGCTCTTCTTGTGTGATCTTGCTTGCAGCTCCACAAGCTCCAAGGGTGCCAGAGAGAGCCCTCAGGCAGGTGGAGACAGGTAGAGCTGCAGGTGAACTCAGGGGAACTGGGGGATGTGGGGTATGGCATCAACAGCATCAGCTACATAAAACATGCCCTAATGAATAAACCCAGGACAGAGGATCAGCAAACATGGGTTTTGACTTCCTCTCTATGGTTCAAATATGAGCTTTGCAGGGGTGAAAAACTACCTACTCTCTCTGAGCCTCCAACTTTCCATCTGGGAAATGATGTCATTGGACTATTTTTCTAGGCCAGGTAAAGGTATACTAGACAAACACCTATAAGGAGGGATGGCATTACCAGGAGATGGAGAAACGCTAACTCTCTCCTCTTCTTCAACTTGTGTCTTTAGTGTGGCTGTCCTAAAAAAATCTTAGTTCCATTTATAAGAGTGAAAAGTTATAATCTTTTCCTCTGTCCTTTAAAAATCCCCATCACTGGTAGTCAGATTTTGCTGCCTACAAAGCAGTCGGTTTACAACAACATTTATCTTCTTGTTTATAGTCTGTGGATCGGCTGTGTCTCAGCTGGGCTTGGTTAGAATCAGCTGGACTTGGCTCATGGCTGCAAGTTGGATTTATGTCTACTCCACATGATTCTCTTTGACCAGCTACTGGGAATATGCTCTTCTCATAGAGATTCACAGCAGTGGGAGAGGCAAGCCAATGTGCATAAGCACATTTAGGGTCTCTATTCCAATGGAGTTCATTAATATCCCATTAGCCGAAGCAAGTGGGCATGGGTCAGGACCAAATCAAGGAGTGAAAAAGTGCACTAAGCCTACCATGAGGCCATGGAAACTGCAGGGACATTTAATTCTATCACTGAACAGAGTAAAAAATTGAGAGCAATAATGCTACCCACCACACTGTTCTCGTGCTCAAAGTCATCTTCCATGCGAGCCTTAATAATACCCACTCTCATGGTCTCTTGGCCTTTCTTTAACTATTGTAATATTGCCTGGTGTCTTAGTCTGTTTTGTGCTGCTATAAGAGAATACTACAGACTGGGCAATTTATAATGAAATAAAATCTATATCTTACAGCTCCAGAGGCTGGGAATTCCCAGATCAAGTTTCCAACATCTGTCAAGGGCCTTCATGCTGTGTCATCCCATGGCGGAAGGTCTAACACGCAAGTAGGGGATGGGAACTGAACTCATCCTTTTATCAGGAATCAAATTCCATGACAACTAACCCCCTCCCTCAATAATTCATCACAAGGAAAGATATCTCATGACCTAATCACCTCTTAAAGGTTCCACCCTCTTAACACTATTGCATGGGGATTAAGTTTCCAACACATGAACTTTGGGAGACACAGTCTAACTGCAGCACCT